CCAAAGCCCTGGCTTCACCTGCACCAAATCTACTGTGGTTGTGAAAAAGATTGAGCTACCGGCGGTGGGAAGATGTTATCTGAGACCTCTGATGTTTTGCCCAAGTAAATGGGCCACAGCAGCCTCTCCCAGCCCGCAAGGGAGCATTGGGAACAAGAGACCTACCTGAGGCTCAGCTTAGCCCTCAGCCCACCCTTGGGGGACATTGCTGCCTGGGGTATCCTTTCTTGCCCATGCCCTCCACCAAAAACCAATTCAGTTGTCTTTTCCAAAATAAAGCCTGGTTTTGCAGGAGGGATGTGGGGGAGAGAATGATTCTGGGTTGTTTTGGTGTGTGTAAGTGGATGTGGGTGTGGGTGTGAGTGTTTTGGCAGACTGGGGATTGAGCCCAGGGTCCCAACCATCTTAAACAAACTCTCTCCCGCTAAGCTCTACCCCTGGCCCTTTTATTTTGAGAGGGTCTCACTAAGTAGCTCACACTGATCTCAAGCCTGGAATCATCTTTCCTCAGTCTCTCAGATAGTGGAACTACAAGTGTGTAACAGTAGACCCAGCTGATTCTGATGTTTTTGATTAAGCAACTCAGTGAATAATAATTGTGTTCATGAAGATATAAAATGTTAGTGGAGACTCATAGCTGGAATGATAAAAAGACCTAGAAAAGAAAGAGCTCACAGTGCTGTCTGGCTGGTGACATGTTTGATATTCTACTCTGTTCTGCATGTCTGTTTATTATGACATTGTGACTGACGAAAAGAAATGAGGTAAAGGAAAAGGACAGTTTTGAAGAACAACTTATTGATAGGAACACTATCCAACTATATTTTCCTGGTTTTTTTTAACTTCATGTCCCTTTAAGGTCCTTAGTGAAGGATTCATAATTGTTTTAGTCTGTGATTCCATAGTTTTCCCTATAATGAATATGTAAGTCCAGTTACACTCCAGACCTTTTCTTTTAAAACCTGGGTTTGTGTAACTAAGTTTGTTTCTTGGTGTATCTTAAGTTTTAAATAAAATAGTTTCTGTCACACCTTACTTATGTATTCACATTTCAGTCCTAGAAGAAAAGATTAACAGAATAAACACTGAACTTTGCCTGGGAGAAGATATGTATGCCTGAATACACAGATTCACATCTATAGATAAAGAAGTTTTGTTTCAACAAGTTTCTTCCTTTTCTTTTTTCTTTCTTCCCTTCCCTCAGGCAGTCTTTTTCTTTGTGTCATTGAGGCTAGAAGTTTTCACAGATTGCACAACCCCGTGGCATTGTTCAAGACATTTGAATATAAAGTACCTTTCATGTCCATGAAACATAAAGTACTTGCCTTTTGCTTTTTGGTCTTATCTCAAGAAAATATAGTGTAAGAGCTCCTTTGGAGCAGTCATTCACATGATCTGTGTAACGTGTCATGCTCTGTGAACCGTCAGATGTTTCCTGATCAACCTTATGACCCTTCAAGGAGCAGACTTTATACCAAATTTGTGAAGACTAGACCTAGATCCAGGAACCTTGAATTTTGATCATCCACATATCTCTTAAAATGGAGAAGTATGTTCTAAATGACTATCGCTTCATTTGCTTATTGGGATCAAATAAATAATCTATGGCCTTATTTTTCTACTAGGATTAGTTTCTTTGTGTTTATATTCTCATTCCTAAAAAGTATTTGACATATGTTCTGCATTGAAAATGGATTTGTGTGTGCTTTATTAGGGTTTCTTTTTAAGATCTTAAACTTATGCTAGATATCAGCCATTAAAGATTTATCACTCGAGGGCCAGCCAAGTAGCTTAGTGGATTAAAGCACCTGCAAGCAGGCACAGGGACCAGGTGTTTGATCCTCAGGCCTGCCTTGCCAGCCCTGCCCCCGGGGCGCACTGAGAAGGCAATTGAGACTTGGGCATGGCTGCACGCCCCTATAATCTCAGCTCTTGGGAGGCTGTAAACAGGCAGATCACTGAGTGTGACCTAGTAATGAGACCCTGAACACCCTGTAGACCCTTCCCTAAAATACAAAAAAGTAAATAAATAAAATTTTAAAAATAAAGGTTTATCACTCATTCTAAGAAAATAGCCATGTGTACTGTTGACCAGGTTCCATTAAAGCAACTTGAAAAGGTTTCATAGCTGAATGAATGACATGAAGATGTTTTGCTCACTTTTTGGATGTGCCTCTTTCCTTTCCCTTGTTCTGAGAGCTGCTTTGCAAAACTTTCTCCACTTTCTTAGTTCATTTAGGCTACTATAACTAAAAATCTTAGATTGGGTAATTTATAAGTAGTGGAAACATATTGCACATAGTTCTATAGCTGAAAAGCCAAAAACAAAGCCTCAGCAAAATTATTGTCTAAAATAATTCATAATCTGCTTTATATATGGTACCTTCTTGCTGAATTCTTGCATGGTAGAAGGATGGACAAGCTCCTCAGACCTTTTTTAATGTGGGTACTAATCTGTGACCTGATCATCTCTCAAAGTCCCCACCTCTAACTGCCACCCCAGTGGAGGTTAGGTTTCAATATATGAATTTCACTGTGTGTGGTAGTTTAATCCCTGTAATCTCAGCATTTGGAAGGCTGAAGAAGGAGGATCCCCAGAAGTTTAAGGCCAGCCTGGACTACATGGTGAATACAAGGCCAGCCTAGAATATATAGTGAGGCCTTGTTCAAAGAACCCAAAAATTTAATTATACATATGAATTTCAAGGGGACACAAACATTCAAATCATAACAAAACCCTTGGGGGCTTTCCAGAAAAGAAAAATTAGACAAATAGACAGATAAGTAAAAATAAACATTGTGAATGGGTAATGGTATGGGATGCAACCATTTAGTAATATTTAATAATATAAAGATGTTTATGATTCTAATGATAATAAGATTTATGAGGTTCTAGACATCTTTCCAAGTGATTTCTTTGTGTTAAATTCATTTATTTGTTACTCCTCACAACAGCCTTATGTGAGGAAAATTACTATTTTCCCAATTTTAAAAGTGAGGAAACTAAGGCTGATAGCATTTAAGTAACTTTCCCTAGGTTAGATAGCTTGCAAGAGGCAAAGCTATTTTTCAAACTAAGCCTTTTTTTTTTTTTTTTTTCGGTACTGGAGCTTGAACTCAAGACCCTGCACTTGCCAGGCAAGCACTTATCCTACTGAGCTATCTCCCCAGTCCCTAAACCAAGACAATTTGATCTAAATTACTGAGGCATTATAGCATATTTCTGTAAACTTTTTTAGGAAACTAGACCAAATATTTTTAATTCATCTAGAAAAAAAATGTGTTCAAGATAATCATATTTTGATAAAACCAGAATTGGAGAGAAAGGACAAAGCATATCATGCTAGATTGCAAAATACATTGAGATACAGTAATTTTTAAACTATCATAGAATAGCAGAAATAGGCATAGAAAAAAATAACATCAGAAGAGAGTGTCCATTTTATATGTTCATAGGGAGGAGACTGAGTGTATGTAACTAAATATTAACAGTGATTATCATTGTTTAAACTTTATTTTTCAGTTTATCTAAACATAACATTTTAAATTATTCATTAGCAAGGTTTTTTAGATGCTGTGAAGCAAACTTTAACAATGTTGTATTTTAATATTTACCAATATTATAACATAAAGTGGTGTTTACTTTTATGCCTAACATGCCCTGCATTTTCATAACTGCTAGCCCTGTAGAGTGACCCTCCAAGATGCTGAGTATATTATGTACTTATTCAGGGCTTACATTAACTGGTCACACAGAATCAACCCCATCCTCCATTTTGGTAAAGATGGAGCAAAGGCAATGGAGCATAATTGGTTCATGATTAAAGAGAAGGATCTTAGAAATATGATTTATTATCAAACCCTAAATTATATGTTTTGGTGTTGGAGATTGAACTCAGGGCCTCGTACATGCTAGGTAAGCACTCTACTGCTGAGCTATATTCCCAGCTCCCTGAATGTTTTTTATTGGTAAAGAAAAGCTATTGAAGGAGCCAGGGAGATGGCTCAGTAGAATAAGCTCAAGGGCCTGAGTTCAATCCCCGGTTCCACCAAAAAAAAAGAAAGAAAAGTTACTTAATTTTTTATATGTAGTTTCTGTTTGCTCAGTTTACTAAACTCTGTACTAAGTTATAGTTGTTACAGATCATTTACTGGAGTTTCTAGATAATCATGTAAGCATTTAATTTATAAGTGATAAACTTTCTCTGCAATATTCATGGTCTGTATATTATATATTCAAAATAGTGGAATCGTTATTTTAAAAGATGCTTAGATTCTTATGCTACTAACATAAAAATATGAGTCCTATATATCATAGAATGAACAAATAGTCTTATATGAAATATAATCCAGTATTTTAAAATACAAAAATAACCCTGTAGAAAGTTACTCAATTTGAGGATATTGCTTCTCTTCCAAAAATTCCTGTGCCAATGCAATCTTAGCTCAGGTTGCCATAACGAAACTCCATAGACTGGAGGCTAACTTATCCAGGGGCACTGTCTCTGGAGGATGGGGATGCAGAATCAAAGTCCTAGCTGATTCAGTTTCTGGTGAGGGCTGTCTTCACAGCTTGCAGAGGCTTACTTTTCTCTCTGTATCTTCACATGATAGAGAACCAGATAGAGAACTTTTTCTTGCTCTGTTTTTAGGGATACAGTTGTGTTGGAGACGGCCTTACATTCTTGTGACTTTACTTAACCTTTATTTTATTGTACCTTTAAAGATCTTGTCTCAGAATACAGTGACTCTGATGTTTTTTGAAGAAAAACAATGCTCCCATGATCTTGAAAGTGGTGGACAGGAAAGCAGGGTTTCTATATATAAATTTGGGGGTGACGATTCAGTCCACAGCAGTACTAAGCTCTTTTCAGCTATGTTTTGAGATTATTCTACACAGGATTAGTTTTATCCTTATAAAATTCTTAAGGTACTTGTCACTTTACAATGTATCCTAGAAACTTTATCTAAATGTAACTTTATGAATAATTCCCTTTTAGACACAAAATCGAATGAAGCTAATGGCAGACAACTATGAAGATGACCACTTCAGATCCTCTCATTCCAATCAGACAAATCATAAACCCTCCCCAGATCAGGTAAGGCTGCTTCTGGCTGTTTTTGTTTAACTTTTAAAGTATTTTTATATTAACATTTTGCAAATTCCAATGAGTTAGAAGAAAACTAAGTTTCTCCAAAACTCCACTTTCTAAAAAAATTTTGTATAGAACATTGATGATTGTAAATATTTTTTAAAAGATACTTAAAAAATTTTGAGAACAAAAAAAATCCATGGGGGGGCTGGGAGATGGCTCAGTGGAATAAGCGCTTCCCTGGCAAGCACAAGGACCTGAGTTCAATCCCCGGTTCCGCAAAAAAAAAAAAAAAAAAAAAAAAAAAAAAAAAAAACCTTGGATTGAGGGGAAAAAAATCAGTCTTGCCTTTTCTTCTAAAGAAATGGTGCCTTAGTAGAAATACAAGACTCCTTGCAAGCTCATTGAAATATAATTCAGTATAGGGGCTGCTTCTGTTTAATTACAAATTATGAAATCCTTGTTCATCATCTACTAAAAGTGATGGAAATTAAGTAAAACTTAATTTCTTTATTCCCATTTCTCGATAGATATCTTCAACATGTCATTCACAAGGGAAGTTACTGCCTCTACCTTCTCGGTACAAAAGAGACAGCAGATGAGTCTAAAGGGAACCATAATTAGTTTTGGTTTTTTGAAGAAAAACAGTTCTCCCACGATCTTGAAAGTGGTGGACAGGAAAGCAGGGTGAATAGATTATCTCATATCCCATTGCCAAAAACCAGGTTTTAACATCCCTATCATACTTAATCTTAAAATGTATAGCTAAGGGGGAAAAAATGTACTCAAATGATTAAATCTATCTATCTAAAGAGTCAGCGAAAGTGCCTCTGCTAAACATCTCACCAGATGACAGCTATGGCATTGTCTTAGAAAAAACGGCAGAACTACTGTAATTAAAAGCAGTTGTGATACCTACAGTGCTGATATTTCTTAGATGCAGAAGATATAGCCTTAGCATGATGACATTCCTAAGTTAGCTGAGGAACACAATGCAGTTTTGAAAAGAAATGGTACCAATTTTACTGTAGGTGAAGGGGAGAAAGTGGTCTGCCTCGTGTCAGTAGTCATTCCCTGCCAAGAAATCACTTTCTTTTCCTGTTTCCCAGTACATACCTGGAATTAAATTTATGTCACCATATGTAAAATACGTGCTGGATCGTTTCTAGGAAATAAGTTTTGATATGAGATAGATGAAATTAGAATAGGGAGAGGCAGAAATGGAGAAAGGTTAAAGAAAAAGGCAAAACATAAAAAAAAGTCCTAGTTTGGTAATTTTTCCCAGATCTAGCATAGAGATGACATATGTAATGATAAACTAATAAGAGAAGAGAAATAGTATGATAATAATCTAATAACTAATTTTCATAATTTAGGGAATTAGAATCTATAATGAGTCAAATTCTTTTCTAATACATTATGCTTATATATTTGTTTTAATACTAACCAACTCTTTTTCATTCCCATGCTGCCCTGGGGCACTGTGCCCTTTGTCATCTCTCCCCATAGGATGAGGAGGAGGGTATATGGGCATAGCCAATCAGATGCTCTTAGTTCAGCCATTTTGTTCAGAACGGTGAGAAACAGCTTTGCTTTTAACTACAGAAATGATTTTTGTTTTGTTTTATTTCATTTTTCCTTTTACACAATCACTCTCACATTTTGTTTCTGTATAATTCATGAATGTCTTTGATATGCTTTCTGTTTTTTCATTTTCACATGATTTTTGTGTGTATTGCTGTGCTTTTGGCATAGTGGGGTTTGTATTTTGTGGGTTTTCTTTTCTTGTGTATTATTAATCACTTTTGTAGTTCTTCGTATACATTTTTGGGAGAACTTTCAGGGCATATAATCAAATTCCTCAAGTTGTGATTTTTTAAAATAAATTATTCTTAACAGTGTCCTGGTAAGGTTTATAGTAACTTATATTAAACTGACAGTAGAAAATTGATTACTGTGTTATTAGCTTGGATTCGTGATGCCTTTTTTATGCTAATTATAAATACAGCATCTGTGTAAGAACAGTCTGTACACTAGGCTGTACTAAACCTTCATTTGCGCTATCTATGGAATACTCTGAATCCTCAGAGTCAGTACCTAGGATGTCTAACTGTGATATCTCCTGCAGCTTTGACATTACTCTCAAACTTTCCCTGAAAATAAAAAGGAACAGAGAAGTAAGAGAAAACCTCTTTAACAGTAATTCTGAAGAGTTCTCTCTCTTTGTATAGAATATTGCTTTCTTAAACAGTTGCCAGGACACTGCCAAGATTCTCCTTTCCAGTCCAGTTGGCTGGAAGAGTCCAGTTTGCTCTAGTGCCTTTAAGATTTGGCTAAGGAAACCCTTTTCTTATAAAAAAAAATTAATAGTTATGATTAATAAGTTGACACATACTGTGATAGCCTTGTATTCCCTGGATTCAGCGTTCATACTTATTAGTGACTTTACTCTTTTGGAGTCAGTTCTCCCTGAAATGTCCATGTCTTGGTGTTGAACTGCTTAAAATGATGGGAACATAAACAGACCTTCTACTGTTGAACACAGTAAGGCTGAAGAGGTAAGTTGTGGAAAGGGGCTATACACTATGTGATGCACAGCTTTTCAGATCACTTTATTCTACCACAGTGGATGAAGGTGAAGTTTGTCTGTGTCAACCAGAAAGTTTGTTAGGTTAGAATGCTGCATGGACTACTTTTTCTGTACTCTACAAGGGAACATATTTGTCATGATGAGAAGTGTGGGAACCATACAGTAGCAGAAAGGGGTCTACCAGTGTCTTAGAAATGAACATGGCTCTGCAGTGCCCATTTTAACAGAACATTTGACGTTGTAACAGTTTTTAGTTTGTCTTGGCTGGAAGCTTTCCCTGCCACTCACACACACCTTAGATAGTATTTTGCTTACCAACTTTTTCTAGTCAATCAGAAGAAACATGTTAGTGTTCTGGAAAACAAGCCCATTGATAACTTCATTAGGAGATTAAAAATGAACAAACCATTTTATGTATTTCTTCTAGAAGTTGTATTTTCTCTTTCATTGGAATGAAATAATTACTAGCAAGAGTTCAGTTATTGACTTTACTTTTTCCAATTATTCCACTATTGAGCCTACTCACAAAACTGTTACCTGTAATTGGTTTAATACATTGCAATTGCAGTTATCTGGCCTGTTATGGTTACTTTTTTCATTGCTGAGACAAAATATCCAATGCCCAAAGTTAAAGGAGGGAAGCTTTATTGTAGCTCACAGATTGTAGAGACTTCAGTTCATAGTTGGCTGGTTCCAAGACTGGATGGCATGGCAGAAGGACATCACAAAAGAGAAACAGGTCATGGCAGGTAGAAGGCAGCAAAGCAATGAAGTAGAAAAAACCAAAGCAACTACAAGAGCCCTCTTTCTGTCTCTTATATTCTACCTTTAGGGTAGAATAGGGTATGGGCGGAATATAAGGGTTTGGGGCTTCCTTAACCCTAGCCTTGCATCAAAATCTGTCCCAGCCTCACACACTTCAGATCTAGCCACCTCTGAAGAAACTTCAGTTAGGACCCCATGAGACTTTGGAGAGACATTTAGACACAAGCTGTAACATGACCAGAGCTGGAGTTTCTGTGAAATATTTTAAACTTCAAAAATTTGTCGCAGTCACCATTATGTCATAAAAATTTTGCCTAAAAAGGTGTATTGACTTCTAAAACACAGAAGTTTTGACATTCTGTCCAGTTCTCTTGATTTCTTTGCTGATTCTACAGTGAACAGATATTCTCAACAGATTTCAAATTTGAAATCAGTGATTTCCTTATCAAACATAAGAGGTTAATGTTTTGCATCTAAAACACTTTGTAAGACACTAGTTACTGGCAAAGTTACAAGCCTTACTAGAAATAATGTGTTCAGATGGAAGAAATATAGAGCTGAAAGGGGTTTTAGGCTTAGGTCATTTTATGGGATGTGGTAGGACATAATAGTTAGAGCAGACATGAGAGCAGAATGGCTATGTTTAGACCCTTAAATCAGTAGCTGAAATTTTGAATGGGTTTTTAATCTCTGTACGTGGGTTTTTTTCATCTTTCAGGTGGAGATTGTAAGAAGTAGAATGAATTGTGAGACAAATTAACAGTACAGCTTTGAAATTAGATTCCTTATGTCCATGAAAGTAACTTAAACTCTCTGAACTTCAATTTGTTTCCGTAAAAATCAGTTTATTAGTCCCTGCCTCAGAGGGTTGCTGGATAGATTATTTGCTTGATGTATATAAAATGGATTGAATAGTACCTTATACCAAAAACTACTGTACTCTTTGCATTGCTGTTACTATTCTTGTTATGGCTCTTGAACCTCTTTAGCTTAGCTGTATGTTCAGGAAGTAACAAGTTTTCAGTAAATGTTAGTTACTATTATTATTATCCTTGTCTAGCCCAGTGCCTTCACTTTGTAGTAACAGCACAAAACAAATATTTGAGAATTTAGACTCAAGGTCATCAGCTATTTCTGGGAAGAGGGACTAATGATAGTTGATAACAGAAATAACCAAAATATATGATGATTTCATTGCCCTTTCATCACTTAAACCATGATCCATATGTTGAAATTTTTTTCTCTTGGGAAAATACATTGATTTTTTTTTTGACCAAATATTTTATTATTTTAGTTTTGTTCTTTTTCATTTTTTAAAGAGAATAAAAAATAATTTTAAAAATATTAGAAATAATACAGAATTTCACTAAACAAGGTTATAGGAATTCAACAATGGTTATTGTAGTACATAGTATATCCTCAAATTAGTTGTTCCTGTTACCAAATGGAAACATGCAAAATTGGTCAAAAAAATGGAAAAGAAAAAATATTTAAGCATTAGCTATTCCTTTCAATAAGCCAATAGAAATCAGCAGTACAGTTATCCCAGATATCCTTGTGCATGTGGGTGTAGTATATATATTTTATACCCCCACCTTCTTTCTTTTCTCCTTTCCTCATCCCAGTTATTCATTCCCTTTGAGAAATTTCT